TTTAGCATTTCATTTTGCTGGTAGCTAGTAGCTACTCACTCTAATTCTGCGCCGTTCATTTCATTTTAGTTCTGTGTGGGTTATGTTTGGCACGATTGCCATGGAAACTGCAATGCCAAAGCGCATTATTTGATTATGCAGGGGCCACTCGAGAAGAGTGAAAGGAACGGTGGGGGGCAGAAAGGAAAGAGATGGCACGAAAGTGAGAGGTCAAAGAGCGAGCCAACTTTTGTTGTATGATCCTTGAATTCCGCCTGCACTTGCATAACATTTGCAGCAGACTTTCCTGGCTGGCTGACCGAATGCATTTCAAAATGCATTTCCCCCACTGAAAGCCCCCGTTTTCCGCTTTTACTCTAAAACCACTCTGTTTCATAAATCATTCATACGCCAGTATTTTTATGCCATTCGATAAGTGGCTCTCGATTGCTTACATTTCTTCAGAGACTCCCTTTAAATGGGATACAGTGGTTGCTACTAGGTTATTAATTTTTATAAATATTGGTATTCAAATCATGTTAGTTATATTTTACTAAATTCAATTATATTTTCAAGTTTTTAATAAGAACTATGTTTGTAATATTAACTAAATTTAAATTTGTTTTCTTTAATTTTAAGTAAAAAGATAAATTATTTTCTAAAAGGTAAATGTAAGTTTTTTAGATAATAAATCTTCTAAATTTATTGTTATTTATTATATCTTAAATCTACAATGTTAGATATTAACCTACTTGTCTAAAAGCGTAATATATCCACTATACCGCAGTTCTTCTCTGTTTGAAGCTCTTTCTCTTGTAAGCAAAAAAGAAGTCCGCCTTGGATAAATTATGTTAATTTAGTTCTACCCCGCCTGCTCCCCTGCTCCACTCCACTTTGCTCTTTAATAACTTGACAAATGAAGAAAAAAAAAAGGCGAGCAGAGAAGTCTCTTCAACGGACTTACGACTGCCAGGCATATAATTTCGCAAAAGCGCAACAAATTGTTAATTTTCCTTTGCTCTGCGTCTCTTTTGGTTTCTGTTAATTTGCATATTTTCTTCGTTGGTTCGTTTTTTTACGTTCTTATAAATGAAAAATAATTGTTGAGCGTGTCTACAAAATGGTAATAAATTCTAGACAAGTAAAGCAAATTGTTGCCTTTGGCTTGCTTTTCTATTTAGGGGTATACTTAAGATTTTCGTGTGCCTAAAAAAATGGGCAACATAATCTAACAGGCATATTAAAATAAAATATTTGTGGCACTATATTATCATATACCATTTAATTATCTTTGAACTTAATTGACTTTCGAAGTGTAGTTTTTAAAGTTTTAGTCCACAGCTCTAACATTTTGGTTTTAAGTTTACATGTGTCTGGGCCAAAAATCAAAAAGCACACCAATTTCGTTTGTTTAATATTCGCAGCACAAAGCAAATGGAATCCCTACGGAACTGGACATTTGCAGGAGGACAGGTGCTGGTGATTCATAGGCCAGCCCAGTTCTCCTCCTCTCAATTCCTGTCTGTCTGAGGAGGGGAAATCCATCAAATGAGCTGCCAACGCGTTGTGGAGTCAATACAAATTGTTAACTTCCCCTTTTGGCCCCCCTTTTGGATCCTGCCTGTTATTTACTTGGCCAGAAGTGTTTAAAGGGGAGTGCCAGAAGAGGGAAGAGGGGGATTTTCTGGGGGTATATCTGTGAGCATTATTCAATGTTTGCAACGAACGTGCGCAAATTACGGATTCATTGCACGTAGTCGGCGGCCAAAGCTTCCAAGCTTCCCGCCTCGAGCGTTTCAGACTTTGTTTACCCAAAAGCAGTTGATGTTGCTATAGTGTTGTTGCTTTGGTTGGTTGTTGCTGTAGATGTCTACCGCCATCATCAACGCCCAAGCAACAACTGTCCTATCCCTCTTGCTCCGGCATACTCCAACTGACGACACATTAAAATAATGTATTTTTAAATTTAACATTAATTGCCGCTGAATGGTTTCTGAATGGGCTGATGCAGTGGGAGAAAAAGGGCGCACTTCGAGCAACCAAATTTGAATTATGTGGCATTTTAATAATTAAAAAAGGGTAGTAGGACAAATTAAGTATTTGAATATCATAAAATAAAAGCAGGAATTAAATCTTATAGATTTCTATAGCTTTAAGATTAATAAAAAAAACTACATTTTTTCAGTGTTTATTCGGCTGCGCCTGTTCCTTTCCATTTACTGTTACTTTCTTGGCGAAGCATCTCAAGGAGTGCCCCTTTACAACAACAGCGATTTTCGCTGGTCGCTTGCAGTGCATTAAGTCATCATTTTATTTTAATTTTTTTCGGAGACTTTTCCCATAAATCGTTTTTCCCTGGCCTGAGACTTTAATGTTTTTATATAAGATGCGATGAGGGGGAAATATGCTTTTTATGGCTTTTGCCATTTTGCATGCATTAGCGAGTGCCTCTCGAGTGTTTGTGTGCGCTTAGGCTAGAGTGAAAAATTTTGATTATATTTGTTAAGCAATTGAAAAATTGCTCATCGCCGAGAAACTGGCGAAAAGGGAAGGAAGTCTGATGTGAAAATTGAGATTTAAAATGATGAAAAATTAATTAAATGTAAATTGGATAAGTTAGCGTTGGAATTTAAGATTTTCATTGAATCATAATCATCAGATATCAAGAAATGCCAAAAACCAATAGCATATATTATTCCAATTTATGCTAAATCGAAATATAAGACTATTTAAATAAAAGTATTATTTCTTTTATTTTCTACTTAAAACTGTCCTTTTTATATGTTAATATATATTTTATAAACCGAGTTGAAAAATATTGATATTAAAATTGTAAACCTTTCCTTAGTTTCCGATGTTCATATAATAAATTCCCTACTAGTTAGTCCTTCAGATTGATTGACTTAGCAAATCCCTTCATTCGGGAACTGACATTTGCCAGGATATTTGGTGAAGTCGACTAATGCTGATTCGCAGTCTCGTTTACCACAATGCAGCACTAATCCAGTGTTAAGCTCGCACCTAACCTCACTCACTCCCCCCAATTACGTAACCAGGGCATTAAGTAGACCCAGTTAATGCTGGGCATATAAGTGCCCATCAACAGGGATGCTCCTCCTGCCACTCGAACGGCCCCCTCCAAATTGTCTATGACTTTCATTCGATTTGCCTAACAAGCCATAATCATGTGCTGCTGTATTTAATTACTACCGTCTGGTCATATTGGAAATTGTCTGGGTTATAGAAAGAGAGGCATAGATGTTGGACGAAAGAGACGGGACACAGGAGCTGGGCAGGCAAACACAATTGAGTCATTAAGCCGCAATCTAATTAAGCCCAAAAATGTGAAATGAGCCCAGGAATGGGAAACAACGCAAAGGCCTCTAAGTTGGCTTAGAGGCAGCGCGTTAAGCGAATTAGTTTTGGTCTTGTTCTTTGACTTGGGACCCCGAACGAAAAGAGGGAACTCATCCGGAGTCCACAAATTTTTACGCCACTTTAACGTGACCGTTTTCGGGCCGTCGTCTTTTTTCCCCTCCGCGTTTTACATTTTGGTTGGTCGTCAAGATTTATTTCGTGTCTGGCCGCGACCACGTAGGTCATTAAATTGTTTAGAAATCACGGACAGCCGCATTAGAACCCTCCGAAAGTATCTCAGTATCCAGACCCAAACAACCGAAGCCCAGCCCAAGACCCAATTCTCAAATGAACCACAAAATGACTAAGAGGCTGGCGACGCACGCACTCGCACAGTGCTTCAAAATGTATAAAAAAATGTTTTTGAAAGTAAACTTTGACTTTTGAAAGCTTGAACTTAATTATTTAGCTTCGACCAGGCTTAAAAAATTATAATTGATTTTAAATATCAAAAAAGTTGAGTCGCTTAATTTCGAAGTATTTTGTTCACTTTTCACATCCCCCAGCCCACTGTTTCGCCTTTACATCTTTAATTATACCCTTGCAGAGGGTATTATGATTTCAGTCAGAAGTTTGCAACGCAGTGAAGGAGACGTTTCCGACCCCATAAAGTATATATATTCTTGATCAGCATCACAAGACGAGTCGATCTAGCCATGTCCGTCTGTCCGTCTGTCCGTCCGTCTGTCCGTCTGTCCGTCTGTCTGTCTGTCCGTCTGTCCGTCTGTCCGTCTGTCCGTCTGTCTGTTTCTACGCAAACTAGTCTCTCAGTTTTTTAGCTATCGGGACGAAACTTTCGCAAAAGTCTTCTTTCTATTGCAGGTAGTATATATGTCGGAGCCGACCGGATCGGACAACTATATCTTATAGCTCCCATAGGAAGGATCGGAAGAAAAAAACTTTAAAAAATTCTAGCTTCGGTGTTTTTTGAAATATTACCTTCTACTTTTGGGGATGTTATTTTTTAAATATTTCTGAATTTCGAATTAATTATTTAAAAAATCGGACTACTATATCATATAGCTGCCATAGGAACGATCGGAAAATTAATGGAAAAGTAATAGGAAATAAATTCTAGCTTCTTTGGTTTTTATTGTATTATCTTCTACTCTAGGATATGACTCTTTTTAAATATTTCCGAATTTCAATTTTAATTTGATCAAAATCGGACGACTATATCATATAGTTGCCATAGGAACGATCGGAAAATTAATGAGAAATATTAGAAAATTAACATTTTTGCGATTTGTTAATTAATAGGAATGATCTGCAAGGGTATATAATCTTCGGCTGGCCGAAGCTAGCTTCCTTTCTTGTTTTTTGTTGGTTTACTCAAGTTTTTTGTAGCTTTTTCTGGCTGATAGCAACCAGTCCATAGCCACGAGAAATAGATACAGTTAATGCCGCAAATGATGTCTAATGACGGCTTCGTCTTACGCGTTGAAATTGCCCGAAACCGCAGCGATGGTTGGGTTTGAGTTAAGTTTTGGGCGGATTGTGTGATAGAAATTGATGTGGACTATGGGAGATTAATGCGTCGCCGGATCAAGGTCGCATTGGTGGCTAATCGATAATAATCCAGCCTGGATTTCAATCCAACTTACCTTCAACTTTGGCCAGGGCCAGCACGGAGATGGTCTGGAGGGCGGGCACCGCCCAGGCAACCAGGTGGAATAAGTGCGACTTGTTCTCAATAGCCTCGTGGCCCCATTTGAGGCCGGCGGCCAAAAACCAGGCGAATGCCAGACACGACCACCACGCGAAGGCTGCCATGCAGCAGAAGTAGAGTGCCATGAATAAAACCGTGCAGGACGTGGTTTGGCGGTGGCCCTGTCGGAAAATAAGAAAACTCGGTCAATAAAATCACAATTAATTTAAGGGCAGCCTGAAAGGTCGAAGCATAAAATACCCTTTTAGCTAAGGTATATAAAGAATAAATCAGAAAGTTTAAAAACTGGAAAATGTTCAATTAAAAAAAATAAATACAAAATGTAAAAATAATACAACATATTGTAACTTGTTTAATTAGGGAGTTAATGAAAACGAACGCACAATTCAGAAATATTGTCTAGATTTACCGAAAATATTTATAAACAATTTTTAACATTTAAAAACTAATAAAAGTATTCTTGAAGAAAATATGGTCTTACTCTGTTTATAAATTAGCATTGAAACTACTTTTAATTTTCTTTTTCATTCATTAATTAATAAATAAAAAATGTCTTTAAAAATGTTTAATCGATTAGGCAAATTTATTCGAAATAAATATTTTAGATAGTTATCTATAATATTAGATATCTTTCCTTTAAAGTATTTTAAAGTATGTCTTAAGAAGTCTTTCGATTTTTAAAGATTACATTTTTTTATATAAGCAGTGTTACAAAATGTAACTCTACACATTTTATTGCATCAACTCAACTCCAGCTAATAAAAGTAGCCTCTTCGGTGGCATTAAAAATGAGTGAGGACTGGTTTCCCAGGCACTGCAGAGGTGCTTCTGCTGGATCATCTCACCTGGGTGATGGTGGACATCATCTGCAGGCGGCCGAGCTTGACGGGTGGCGGAAATGGTTCGCGGCACGACACGGAGTCGCCCGCCCCCAATCCCGCCACGTAGGCACATCCAACTACCAGGTAACAGACGGCCAGAAACACGATGGCCCTCTCCGGGTAGCGAAAACGCGACGAGTCAATCAGGAAGGTGAGCACCTGCAACGAGCAACAGAAGGGGAGAATGGATATTAAATATAAATTTAGATTTAATTAGGTTCGCCTTAATTAACCCGAGATCTGCTTTGATGTTCCCTTAAAAATGCATTAGTGTTTATATGAGTGCGGGGACATTAAAGGAGAGGAGAACCTATTAGGGATCCTCTTCCCAGCGCCTTTTGGTCATTAGGCTCTACACATTAGCTGATTGTGATTGTTGTGCCATTTACTCCGAAAGCCGAGCCGCATTTAATTCGCAAGGTTTCTTTTCCCTCACCCAGTTGGCCTTAATGAATTTGGCTGAGATGTCCTTAATTGGAATTTCGCATTTGGGCAGAAAGCTAAGACAAATGCAAAAATAAGCTGGAGAACTTGAACAACTTCAAAACTTATTTTTTCTGAGAAGGTGAAATATAAATAAAAATGTTTTTCCAGGAAGTAATTTAAGTACCAACCCGTTTTAATTGACAAAATACCATTTATTGCCACAAATATTAGTTAATTCCAATTTAAATACACGAGTTCCATTAAGTAAATGTTTAAAATAAACTAATTCGTCATTAAGCGTAACTACCTTGCTTTCCAACATTATGTAGGTAAATATCAACATAATGGATAAACCCAAATATGGTCAATCTATTCTTTGTTAAAAGTTATACATGTCGCTCGAAGTATATTACTCATACGTAGTGTGGTCCATTTATGCAATAATCATCAATACTTTGTTAAATGCCTTAATTGAGAGCTTGCATCTATTAACTGACTAACTTACTAACAATTGCCAGTTTGGCTAACCAACAACCAATCAAGAGTTTCTCTGAGACGGACACCACTTCCGGTTTGCCAGAGGGCCAAATAAGAATGGATAGTCAATGATAAACCCTCGGATAAGGCCAACATAATGGTTGACAATTCCTCAAAGCTTTAAAAGCAATTACAATCCACACACAGACGCACACAACGATACTGTTCTCCCTCCTTATTCCCAACCGCAAGCTCACACATAAACTTCACCATCCTTCTCTGAATTTCTCTGTTGCCTGTCTGATTACGCGCCATTTAAATAAATTCATTATCATTCCCACTAAGCCAGGCCAAGGAGTCTTTTGTCTAAACCAGAAACCCCGAACCAGAAAACCCGACCAAACCCAAGCAAAGTCATTTAATTTGATCATTACAAAACTATCAGAGAGAAACAGTTAGCTGGAAGTTCAGTGTGTGAGTGGGTGGTGTGCTCGTATGTGTGAGAGTATCTGCGTGTGGGCTGTGTTTGCGTTTGAGTTGTTCGCATTGCATTAATGTGCCGAGTATTATTGTTGCCACGACGAGACCTCTGAATTATTCATAGATGCAGAACGCACTTCTCGGCTCTGAGTCGTGGCTAACATCAGTCTCCCTCACGAACCACATAGCTGTACTGCGAAAAAATATCCCTAGAAATGTATTAAATTAAATATTATCATTTTATTCAAACCCGTACAAAATACCAAATTCGTGGTTTTTATTATTATTTTTTGAAACTAATTTTGTTTATTTATAATTATTTTTCGAAACTAATTTCATCTACTTATTTTTTTTTTTTTAATTTTTTGGAAAAAGGCCATTTTGAATATAGTTCAATTATAAATGCATTGAATAATAAAGAGTGTCTCATGTTATATTAATCAAAATTTAGAACTTTTCCACTTTCAGTGTATTTTTTTTTTATCTCTTTTATTTAGATTTATTTCTATATACAATTTTTTTAATATTTGCTTAGTTCTTGGGGAACTTTTCACTGTTGTAGATATACCATTGTTATAATGTTTTTAATGTATTAAGTATTTCCGTACTCTCTTTATTGTAAGAACCAATATTTTTCTCTGTGTTCCGTTTCTTTTTAGTTTCTTTTTCCTTGAAATTATAGTTCTCTTAGCCAGCTTACATCTAATTTCCACCTACGCATTGTCTTCGCTGCTCCACCCTAGCTTTCCATCCTCATTTAAATGCAAAATATATTCGTGAAGGCGGAGAAGCGAAGAGAAGAGAAGAGAGGAAGTGAGTCAGTTTGTAACTCCTTTTGTTGACAACGCTCCACTGCAGAAGAACAAGCTGAGAAATTGAATTGAATTGTTTATTTATGCCAGAAACAACAAGAAAAAGGGGGACCATCCAGCTCATCTCATTCTGCTTCCCGTAGCAATTTGTTATACCACGCATGATGGGTGAAAAAAGGGGGAATTTCTGTAGGTGTGACTAGCTACAAATGAAACGAAATAAGCTGCAAATGTTGAAACATTTGGCAAGCACAGACTCCACCGACATCTTTTGTCCCTCTCCCTCCGCCTTTGCCCCCTTTGACACGCCCACAAATTATGCGTCATCGGGGGCGGAAGTTTTCACAACTTGGCGAAAAACATGCAGAGTTTCTTTGGGCAACACCCACACGAAATTCAGAGGAAATTCGCATTGGAGAAGAGCTTAGTTTGAGTGGCACTCGTAGATGGAAATATTGAAGAGGTTTTCATACCAAAAAGGTCTGCGAAAATATTTCAGAATTTAACACAGGAAAATAAAACAACAAAACAACAACAGGGTAATATTATAATTGCAATAATTTTATTTATTTAAAAATAATTTTAAGAAATAAAAACTGTTATTTAAGACATACAGACTAAAATTGAAATTTTGAATGTTAATAAAATATAAATGATTTTGGTTCGAATATCATATCAGCACGTCAAAGTAGCTTTAATTACATCGAATACTAAAACAATGTTTGAAAATATAATAATTATTGCTTATTTCATTGTCAAATTTTCGCAAATGTGAATAACCACACAATTAAAACCATTGGGTGATTATTTAGATTTAAAAGTATATTAAACATTTTTCATAACTTCTAATTATTGCAAATATCCACTCCGACTTTATATAACTTTTAACACAATACCTCAGATGACTTTTCCACCATAAACTTTTCCTCAACGCCTTTTCCATTTCCACAGTCTTCAGTTAAATTTCTTCTAAACATTTCCGTCAACCAACTCCAAATAAATTATTTAACTCGAGCCGCCGCGCCTTTCATGGTCAATGAATGAAAAAAGTAATTTCAATTTTTAGCGCTCATAAATTTCGTGGAGTCGGGTCATTAAAATCAGCCCAAAAACTAAAGTGGTTACACCCACCTAACCGCCCCAGAAAAACCGCACCGCCCCTTCTTCTTCGCTGGAGTGTTGAAAACTAAAAGCCACAGAAAAGCTTTGAGAGCTCTGCCAGCGGTTGCCAGTTTTTGAATTTTGCATAAATTAGATTTAACTCACAACTAACAGACTAAAAAAAAAGCGCTCAAAAATTGTATAAATTTGCATAAGAAAACAACAACAATAGATAGCTTTTTTCAGAGGGTTGATCGTCTATTAGAATAACTAACTATTAACATAAACATTTCAGTCAGGTTGGACAGAGATTGCGGCATAAATTTTGCGGCAAATGTTTGCGGCGAAATTTTATATTTTCTGTTTTTGACATTTGATGTTTATGGCATGTATTTTTTATGCATATCAATGATTAAATATCTGGTGCATATTTAAAAACTATTAATAACTATATGGATATCAAAAAGTAAAAAAAAAAGAATGGGATAAGCCAACTGTCAAAACAAGCAGCCGAAAAAAGTTGGCCAGAAAACGAAAATGTTGGAAGGGTTCACATTTCGGTTGGTTTTTGGGTGCAGTCACCATGAGCTGTCATATTTGCTCATATCGTCTTCAGTCCTGAAATGAAATCCCAACTATCGAAATATGCGCCTCACTGAACTTCCACTTTCTGCCTCTCGATTTTCCCCTTTTTTGGGTTCTCTACAGAAGGTCTTGTAATTAAGAAAATGTCATCAAAGTCAACGACTAGACGATTATTTGCTCTTTCAGCAAACACACATTGTCATTTCCTCTTTTCGCTTTTCATTGGAAAACAAATGTCAAGAAAAAAGGTGGGAGGGGGGGAAAGCTCACTCATTGTCTCATCTCATCTAATGCGCTTAATGAAAAAGGTGTTGATTGTTGACAGTTGACGTGACACACAGAATCCCCCATTACACATTCCCCATTTTTCCCACATAAGTTTCCTTTTGCACAAATTCCTCTGGCAATTTTACCTGTCGCAGAAGCAAAACTTTTTGTGGGTGCAAAAATATTTGTTTTAGTTCGCGAAAATTGAAATAAAATGTGCTTGTTTATAATTTCGCTTGATACTTGAAATGAAAAGCCCCAAAGGTTTTCCCAGGTCTGCAAAAGTTGGACTGTCATAGGAAATTGGTTGGGGGAAAAAAGTTGGGATTACTTTCCTGCAGTAACTTTGACTTGGCTTAAAGTTTACGTTTTCTTGCTTGCAGATATCAAAATAATTTTATCTTGTATGAGAAATGGCCACAATTTCTCTGACATTTCACCACTTAGTTATTTAAAGTTTCAATACAAGCCAATTTATCATTCTACAAACATTGCTGTTTTAAATTTTCATGAGTTTTCGTTACAATTTCTGGCATTGCTTTTCCAATATTTTCCTTAACACATTTTCATCATTTCAATCAATTAGCTGAGCACTTTATTTATTAAATACCGAAACTCTCCTGAATGTCACAGCAAAATCCATATAAATGTGAAGCATTTCGAACACAAAGGCACACATTCATCGGTGCACAAATATTTGTAGATATATATTTTTACCATGCCCATATAGACCAAAGGATCAACTGCAATTTTCTAATGTTCTCGTATGTCATTCTTTTTTTGTTTTGCTGCAGCCATTTCCATTGACATATTTCTGTGTCATTGCAATTTTTTATCCCCACACACATATGGAGTGAAAGAGAAAGTTTATTAAAATCAACAAACAAACAAACATAACCCACATTTCATGGGGACTTTATTGAGATGTATTGAGCACTATTCGCATCCACACATAAACAGGGTAAAATGGCAAACGGAAGAGGAAGCAAAATAAAAAGCCATTCAAATATTTAATGTGTGTTTTTAGCTAGAGGAGGAGCATTTTCCAGAGTTTATAAAGGCTTATGTGGGTTAACTTTTTAAGGCCAAAAAAAATGAAAAAGGATGTTGAAAAACAGTTTAAATATGAAAGCTCAATTTCTTAAAGTCTTAAGAAGGGTTAATACATGACATACAATTTAAGAGTGTGGCAGTTAAAAAAATAAATATATATATCAATTTAAGTAACCAAAACATTTCCCAGTAATTAACCCACCTTCTAGTCCAACAATAAATAATCAGAAAATGCAATCAATTCCAGTTAAATGATTTCCACATATTGTAATCAATCAGAAAATTCTATAAAATAAACTGACGTAATGGAATGGGAATATTTCCATCATCATCATCATCATCGGAAAAATGTTGCACTCGACTAAATAACAAAACATAGAGGCAAAATTTGCATGAACTGAAACTGATGAATGCGTGGAAAATGCAAAAATTCAACGAATGAAAATGAAAATGAGATGGAGAACACTCAGAGAACATAATCATAATCGTAAAAAGTAAGTAGAATGAGCTAGCAAATGAAAGTCTTCTTCGTTGGCCCTGGAAAAACAATTTCGAAATTTGCATAGAATTTGTTGTGTGTTGTTCTGCTGATGTTATGAGTTGCACTGATATGCCACGCCCACGATGGGCGGCAATATCTGGCACTGACAATGGGCGACAAATTATATGCAATGACAAAAATTTATCACACACATGGAGAGAAAAGAATCAGAGGAGGCAGCATGCAAAACATGTCGCCATATGAGTGACAATGTTCCCAAGGGGTGAATATCACCCCCAGGCACCGAAACTCCCTTTCACGCCCCCATCCAAAAAAGGTCCTTTATTTCTCTGGGGCTGATGGATGTAGCGCAACTTTATGATGCCTGTGTGTGTGAGTCAGTCAGGACCTCTCCAGTTTTGATAGATGTGCTTTTTCGGGTCCTCTATCCAATAGCCCTCCTTTCTGCTTTGCCCCCGTTTGATTGCTCTGGAATTATAAGCATGGTTATCATATTCATTTTTTGTTTCTCCTGTTGATTAGTGCCTGTCATGTGCTCGGTCCAGAGCACCTAAATTGATTTTTTATTCAAATTTTGTCAGTTTTTTCTCTTGATGGATATGAGCAAGAGTAAACAAAGCGAAGAAAAAAGCGAACACATTTTCCGTTTGGAGGAAAATGCCTGACTAACAAGTTGATTTCCATATGTGAAAGTGATGGAGCAAACGTAGTGAGACATTGCCAGAGAGCATCCCTTTCAGGACCTTTCACATGATGGATAGTTCCAAGGAGATGAGATAATTAGACAAGTCAATAGATTGATTTATGGTGATGGTGGGATATGGTTAAGAAAAATGGGATAAATGGTGTTGGTAATAAATGGAAATTAAAGTTATACTATCAAATACTATCCTATATAAAATAAATAAATAATTTTTCAAGGTACACCAAAATCGGATTGTATTCGATTTGATACCTTTTATCTTTCTTAGAGCCCCACAGATTTGATTTCATTTTATTTACTCTCACCTTGACTGCAAACATCCATAAATAATCCGTAGGCCATCAATTTCCCCTCCCATACATTTGTCATATTTCTTTTGACCTTTTCCTCCCCCCATTGGCCTGTAACCTTTAACTCTTTAAGTTCGCTTCCATCTTTCCTTGCTCGGCAGCCACATTTCCAATTTGATTTCTTGCACACAGCATTGCAAGGATTACAATGCGAGAACTATTTCCAATATTAGTTCAGTGCTGATCCGTCCTGAAGGCATTCGAATATAGTCGACTCGAATCAAAGGGAGCCGAGGACATGGCATGCCCAGGACATTCCGAAATATCAAAGGGCAATTCTAATAATATTTGAAATTTACTTTTGTTCTGCCATTTGTCCTCCCACAGCCGCATTCACACATGCCACATGCCAAGGCGAGCTGTGGAGCTTTCTTGTCCCTTTATACCCCTACATATACCCTATCTGCCCCCTTCATCCCTTCACTCCACTCCATCAAAGGTATCCTGCTTGCCAAGAACGCCTCGGGGGTTTTTGAGGGGCTGGCGGTCTGGGCGGCCTTGATGGGATGGCTTCTGCATATGTTTTGCCAAGTTTATTGAAAAAGATGCGCTGACAGGTAATATGTCAATGCGTGGGATTTGCTAAAGTGCCAATGCCTTCGTCCTGGCATCCAACCTCCTTTCCCCGGTATAATAGACTTGCTGAAGGAGCAGGACTCACACGCTTGGTCCCCCCGGTGAAAGATGTTTACTTTCAGCTCTAAAGAAAATATGGCAGCACTCAGGCAGCCAAGAAGAAGCAAATATGCTAGCAAGAACCAATAAAGAACAATATAGTAGAGTTTCCTTAGCCTTGTGCATTTTCTTTTAAGGTTTCCCTTTAAATCTTAATTATAAAACAACAGTTTAATACTTTGCCCCCTCTTGAAGTTAAATCCAATCAGTTAAGTTGCTTAAAAATTACATAAATGCAGAAATGAAAACTCACCGTAAACAAGCAGCTGGCCACGCAGACGGCTGCCCAGGATCCAACCCAATATCGAAGAACAGTCCGTTCTCTTTCCGGGAAGAACATCGCATGACATGGTGCTCCGCAGTCATGGAGATCCTGCGAAGGAACAATAACAGAGGCGAATACATAAGTAAATTGTGAAGTCAAGGGGGGAGAAGTGAGGAGAAAGCCTTCAAAGGAGGAAATTCATTTGCAGGCAGCGATTAATTAATAAGGCTTAAATTAAATGATTCCCAAATGGGATTGAGAGTTGTAATTAAAGGGGATTAATGGAGGCAGCTTTTGGAAAACGCACACAAATTAATGGAAGAAGATACGTTTTGTAAGCTTAAGTTTCAGAGCGATTGACAAATAAGCACGGAAAATGGCTAATTAATGAGGACGCTCTTCAAAGAAGAATACAAAACAACGTCATTATTCCTTAATGCATACAATTACCATAAAATAATCCCTGTCTGTGCTTGAAATAAATATGTACAATCCTTTAAATAAAAATAAAATGATTCCCTTTACTAGAAAAATCCATTAGAAATTGGTAATAACTCAAATAACAAATCCAAATTAGCATAAACTTGGAAACAAAATTTCGAAATTCTGCCTTTAGGCTGACACAATCTCACAAATGACATCAGGGACCAGGACAACGGACAACCCCATTTACCAAAAATCTCATCGGTCTGACAACTCTGCACATCCAAAGTCCATACTCCGGACTCGAACAATAACTGCAGTTTAATGAGATTTCCCGGTACAGAAACTCCGAACTCCATCCCAAACCCAAATCAACCTTGAACTCCAAAAAGCGGAGTCGAAATCAACCCCCGCAGAAACAATTGCATAACGAAGTGCGGCAACAATGCAAACGCACTTAAAGCCAAAGACAGTACGACCTCTTAAAAACATATTTTTCTTAAAATATTTATATAAATAAAATTTTTTAAATAGTATCAGCTAGTTTTTATTACTTAGATAAGCTGTTTTCAATTGTGGCCCTATTTTTAAATTATAGTGGTTTAGTGTCAACAAGCATGTTTAATTATCTTACATAAAATAAAAAAACCTTTATATTTATTAGTATTTTAACTTCGGTAAGCGGTAGGTAAGATTGACTGTACTCAACAGCAGACAATTCAAGGCAATTCTCCAGTTCGGTATTCACTCTGTGGCTGTGAGCGGGACAGATGGAGTGGAGTTCGGAGTTCTGGCGCATTGTAAACCACAAGAGATTTGAATTTTAGATAGCATAACACGCACGCACATAACACACTCAAACAAAACCCCGAGGGCGTTTAAAAATAAAGGAAGGGCGGTGAAGTTGTACGAAAAAATATTGTTGCATGGCTTCGCCACAAAGAGTCTCTCAAAGTGAGCTCGAAACTCAGCTTGCAGATAAAGAAGAGCCCTGGACTGCAGCAAGACTTTTTGTACTCTTTTCTCGCATCGAAAACAAATACGACACAGTAAAATAAATAAATAAATAATATTATCTTTTGAAGATATATAAAAAAGTATTATAATAGTATTTTATTTTAATAAGGACCAAGCGAGCAAAATAAATTTTTAATAGTTAGTTGATAAAAGAAGTTTTCTTTTTCTATAACCATTTTTAAGAGGTATAATATAAAATTTGAACAGCTAAAGAAAGAACATTAAAAAGTTCAAGTAAAGGACTCCAAATGTAGTTTTTTTTCAGTGCAAAACCCTTTGGACCATAGAAATCCAGAGAGATCCGGGGACCAAAGCTTTACTGCAGTCGTCAGTTTCTCTGTCAAAGAGCAAACTCCCCCCGAAAGTGTTGACTTGCCTGTCGCAGCGACTTGTCTCTGTCTGTGCTTTATTTCAAATTCCCATTAAAAATTTAAAATCCTCCCCCGAACACAGCGAACCCCTGTCTTTTCAACGTTTTTGGCAATCATCGTTAGGTTAGCGGCGCAAATTGCGTTTTTCTTGTGCTTCTGGGGAGTGTTTTAGGGGGGAATCGATGCTGGCGATAAGCAAGTGCAGATAGAAAGAGATGGAACGCACATAACTGTTGACTGGGGCAATATTTACGCATATTTGCTGAGCATAAGGAAACGGATACCCAACAATAACATAAAGCAGCAGTTCCGAGGGTTCTTGAGGGAATGGAGAATCTCCTCTAAATTGCCTGCAGTTTTGTTTCCCGGCCACATTTATCCGAAATTATTCTTCAAGCTCTTAAGCCAGCTTTAAGCCAGGAAAGCGCTGAAAATTTAAATTTAAATTTTAATGAACTAATTTTGAGGGATTCGAATTGACCAGCAGCAGAAAATGAGGCTTATTTTGGGGGCTGAAAGAAGATGAGATGGCGAATGGAGTTAGATTAAACATTTTCGGTGGAAAATTTGGCCAAGTATAATAAAGTTTTATGAGGTCTATAAAATGTTCTTTCTTTGAAAGTTTTTTATTGTAATATTTTAAAATTCTCTACTTTAATTTATCTAATTCTAAATGGAATTAGCTTCTCCCTCATCTTTCGTTATAAGCAAACTGTTATGACCAGAAAAATATAATTAAATTGTTACCCTAATCTTGCAATCTTCTCCATATCATCATAACATTTATCAGGCTCGTTCCACTTAACATTTTATATCGTGGCTTAATCTCAGAGGCCGCTTCCTGTGGCACTGGTCAAACGATCTATCCGTCGATCCATCGATCTATCTTTATTACCGAACCAAAATCAAACAGACTGCCTCTTCTATGGGTAATTGTAGCCCCCACCACCCCACTTTTACCTTTAAGAATAAAATGCCCCCCGAGCAGTCGGCAACAACTACAACAACTAGTTGCAGCATTGACCACAACAAAAGGAGTCGAGAGACTTGCATTGTTAGTCCCTTCTACATATATATATTTTTAGTTTTGTTTTTGGTCTGGATCCCAGAACGGGGTCCCATTGTCTTGCGATTTTTATGAGGCATGTATAAATAATTGCGCCCAAAGGCCGCCGACATAAGTTTTCATGCCGGCCGCGTGAGCATCCGACCATCAGCAGCAGCTAAAAGCTGGGAAACAGTAAAAACAAGAACCGGACAGCGACTAAACTGCCCTGCAAGAGTCACTACAGTGGCTATAGTCACCCTTATCCGCCTACCTCCTCCTTGATTTCCACATCTCGTCGAATACACGGAAAGTAAAATTACCATAAGGTGCCTTAGATCATTTTATTGTTATAAAATATTTTCTTAAATATTTAAAATATAAAATTTTTGTTGTAAATATATCAAAATAAATATTATTTTAAATTTGTTCACTGCTTTGGTTATACTTAAGCAAACCTTTTCTATAGGATAAAGAAACTTTTTTCCTTTGTGTAATCTAAAAGTGGCAACTACAAGACCGAAACAATATAGAAAATTTCCTTTTAGTTGTATTTTTTTTCGCCAGAGGCCACAAATAAAGCACAACAAAATAGAGGTGGGCAAGGAATAAAGAACGGGCAAGGGTTTCGGTGTGGGGAAGAACCAGAGCCATAAACCAAGTTTTGCCAACATTTAAGGAGTTTTTAATTTATTATAGATAAAGTTTATGCCGTCGCGAGTTATGGAAGGCCAAGCGGTAAGAGGGGCGGGACTTAGAAAGAGCTAAGGGAATCCTTCCAGCTGGCCCTCACTTCGTGTTTTAGTTGGGGGCGTGTTGATGATGATGGTGGAAGCTGCAAATTATTACGACTCCGAGAGATGAGACAACAGACACACAGGCCAACTTATCGTGCAGGGAACAGTGGGTTAAAGCTAAATGAAAATTTGTAGGTTTATCAAAGAAACTAAATAAATAAAATAATAATAAAATACCTTTGTTTAATTTTATTTGGAAAAATAAAATAAGTTTCTTTGGGGAATATTTTACTTTATATCAATATGTATAATCATTTTTGGGGTTTAATGGATGCATAAGGAAAATTACCTTAAATTTGTAGTTTTCACCTCCAAATTACATCTTTCGTTAAAAATTATTCCAATTCCACTGTGCGCCTAGAGCTGCAAAACTTTTTCGAACGTACTTCAGATCAGGGTTTGCATTCAGACTTCCTCCTACTACCAATCGTTCCCCCTTCTCCTGACGTCAGTCCCCTTCTAGGACTTTTTAGACAACCCTCGGACAGCGTTAATGATGATTCTGGCCATATAGACGGGGTATGTTTGCTTGTGTGACCTTTTTGGGGGTGTTGCTGACGTTGTTAAAGTCAAAATAGACAGAGCAACAGACAGCAGGAAAGAGAGCAAACAGGCAACAAAATGAGTCGGAGAATTCGAATATCCTGGGGGTGGATTGGAACAGAATTCGAACAGGAAGACATAGGCAGGACGTTGGTGTCCCCGAGGACCGGCTGTCAACTCTTCGTCCTTCTCTTTGCTGTTTTTCTTCTCCGTTCGGGCCAAACAAGCTGAAAAACCAACACAGACAGACAAGAACAACAATTTGAATTCAATAAGGAAGCAGCAAAGAGAAGAAGCCAAGCAAATTTCCACTCAGGTCAAGAGTTCAAATGGTCAGAAATACCCAGAATTATAATAAAAAAGAGTCAGAGAGTCAGACACGAAATTCCCCCAAAGTTCAAATAGCGAGTCACACATTTTCCTTTGCTGACCGCAACACAAAAGAAACCGGCCAAAAAAATGCCTGCTCATAATTTATTAATATTATTGGTTGGGGGTCAGCCAACTTTCCCCCTCATAAAAGGCCCCTATACCCCCCTCACAAATTACACATGTCGACACTTTATTAAAAGCCAGGAACAGGGGGAAAAAAAGGGTTTTAAGAACTTTGATTCGATATTGGAGGATTTTCAGCTCCTCTTTGTTATTTTTTTTTTGGTTAGGGTTTGCGGTCTGCCAAAAAAATGAAACCGATCCGGAGGCTATAAAATGTCGACCCGTCCATATGTTGGTTGCGTTATGGAATGAGGAAGAACCGGAGGTTTTAGGAACCGGAGGCCCAACAACTTTTGGCGCGATTTCCTCTTTTTTCTTTTTGTTGGGTTAACGCCTCCCTTGTCGTTGTTGTTGTTGCTGGAGCCGCGTTTAACCCTTTCAGGGCCGAAATAAGGACACAAAGAGACAGACAGAAAT